CCCTGCCTCCGTGAGTACCTCTGGGTGTCCCCCTGAGCCCGGGGGGACACCCTGCCCTCGTGGGGAGCTGTGTGTCTCCAACCCTTCTCCCCCCTCAGCTGTAGGGCTGGTGGGCACCCCGTGACGTTCTCTGCCCTCGCAGGGATCTGCCTGCGAGGTCGGATTGAGATCAGTGAGCAGGACATCAGTGGGAAGTGCTCTTCATCCTGCAGCACTCAGGTCTACCTAGGAGCCTTCCTGAAGCGTGGCTGCATCAAGATCTCCTCCTGTGTGACCAAGCCCTCGGGCTGGGTGCGCTGGTTCCGGCGCTGCGACGTCTGCGAGTGCGACTGCCACGTCCCGTGTGGTGAGTCCTGCTGGAGTCAGCCCACCCTAGCTCACTGCTCTGTGGGCAGGATTGGTGCTGGGGGGCTCAAACGGCTCAAAACCTGCTCTTTGTTCTCCTTCCAGCTTCTTCCAGGTAGAGCTGGGCCATCCAGGGCTGTGCCTGAGGTAGACTTCCACCCTGGATGTCTCCTTCTCTTTACCACATGTCTCCATGGCTATGCTCCTTCCCTAAGCTCAATCCATACCAAGAGTGTCATCTGGGAGGAGGAGAGACTCACTCCTCCAGGACTGCCTTCCTGCCTGGCCCAGCCCAGCCCTGGACTCTCTAGGGGCAGGTGCTGCGAGCTCCATGTGTTTCCTGCAGCTGGACTTGGGGATCTGGATGTCTTGACATCCATTTGCCTGGCCCCTCCCTAGAGAAGACACATATCCCCCTTTAGGGGGGAGGTAGCATGTGTACCCTGTGCCTGCTGCAAAAGGATCTGTCCCATTGGTGCTGCAGGTTGTGATTTCTCCTTGACAGATATTACCCTTTGTGCTGGTTGCAGCTCCCAGGCAGAGCCTGAGTGTGGGATCTGCCCACTGTCCCCATGCCACGGGCAGAGCTTTCAGGGCAGAGCAGCCTGTCCAGGGCTGCAGCACCCACTGCTGAGGAATCAAGTGGGTCAAAGTGCCCTACAGCCTCCCTGGGAGCACTGGGGCCAGCACAGGTAGCTGTGGGGAAGGTCTCAGCTCCCAGGTGCAAAGTCTTTCCCATGGGCTGCTCCACACACTAACTGCTGGTCATGCTCCTTCCTGGGGGTCTATGGTACTGCCCTGAAAGTCCCTTCCCCTCCCAGCAGTTTGGGGCCACAAAGAGACGTTTGGCTCCAGGCAGGAACAGCCTCGTGCTCCCTGAGGACTGTCCTGGCTCCTCATGAAGCAGCAATGGAAAAGCCAGAACTGTTATTCCCTCAGGGAAGGAGAAGGTCTGGAGCATGTGTGATGGCATTGCTGGGGGAGCTGGAAGATCAGCAGCACCACCAGGGGTAATTAAAAATGTATTTACAGGAAATCACAGAGTTTTTCCTGTCATGCAAAGAGGTTCTGCTGCCTGCTCTGTCCCTGGAGCCCTGAACATACATGACAGAACCAGGGCAGGTTATGTCCTGGTTCCCTCTGCCACAGTCCTGAACGTGTGAGCCACCACGGGGACACAGCTATGGTCCAGGCCACTGCAGGAAGGTCCTAGCTGGGGACCAGATGGATGATGAATGTGCCCATGGCACTGGCCACCAAGCCTTGCTTGGCACTGGCTCCATCCCTGCTTCCTTCCACCTTGAAATGACTCCACAGCAGGATGCTGCAGCAGTTGCTGGTTGCTGCATGGCCACCAGCCTGGGCTCAGGATCTCCTGGCCCTGCCTCGAGCAGTTGAGCAGGAAGGGCTGTAGCATCAAGGGGGTCACTCCCACAACCACTCTATGCCCACCTGGAGGGAAGCAGAGCTGTTTGGGGGGCCTGGACTGTGACCTGCTAACGGTGAGTGCCCTGGGAGTGGGAGTTGGTGTGCAGGGTGAGCTGGATGGGTCCCACATGCCTCTTGCTCCATAAGGAGATGACTTTAGACCTCTGTGTGGAACTTGGCTCTGTGGCTACCTCCTCATGCCCTCCCCTGGCCCAGCCTGTGGCCTGCCCTGCCCCATAGT